GTCAAGAATGATCTCTATGCTGTGTGGTGTGTCTAGGAGAGAAAGACGGTGTGATGCCACTCAAGGACATCCCTCCCCACTGGATTTCCCTTGTCCAACTACAAATTTATAAGTCCTGCTTGCCAGTGTCTGTGTAGATATCATCCCAGAATTGAGGATCCTAAAACATGTGGTCCTCTGCATGAGGGTAACAGGCTTTGGAACAGTTCCTAGTCACCTTCAGATTGAAGTCTGTCTTGCTACCAGTTAGAGATGTAGACAGTTGCTGCCATCAGTGGTCCACAAAATGGATTAGTGGTCCATGATTCCTATGTAGCTATGTGAGTTAACGTAAAAAGATCTCATGAAAGAGGCTGGGGAGAGGGCTCAGTGAGTAAGAGCACTCGATCTATAAACATGAAGACCTGAATTTGAATTCCTAGCATAAAAAGCCAAGCATGATTATAACCCCAGAATTGAGGCAGGGAGTGGGCAGAGACAGGTTGAGCCCAAGAGCTCACTGGCCAGATAACCTGCCTAGCCATAAAGGTAAGATTCTGATTTAGTGAGGGGCCCTACCTCAAACCAGTAAGTAGACATCCTGTTCTGGCTTCCTTGCATGCATGCATAGGGCAACAGGACTCCAATTCAGGTTCTTAGGCTTGGTGGCAAGTGCCTTTACCCACACACTACACCATAAACACATTAATCAACAAGCCTGGGAAAGAGGAGAAATCAGGTGAGTATCTTAGAGCTTGTGGATATATTTGAACTCTAAGTAGGTAAATTCCCAGCCATAAGCAATGGGCAGTGGAAGGTAACTTTCAGAATGGTTGGCTAGAGAAAGCACTGTTTTTAGCAAAGAAAATAAAAATAGCTCCTGAAAAAAAAATGTGTTATAATTCAGCTATACTCGTTAGTGCCTCTCTGGGTCAGGTGGTCTGCTAAGTGCTGGGAGGTCTAAAGATAAGTATGATTTGGCTCTGCCCTGGGGTGGGGGAGGATTCTATGGGGAAAATTCATATGTAAATAGGACAAAAGATCCACCAGAGAATGAAAGAGAAAATGACATGAACATAGAAGAGGAAGTAATTAATTCACTCCACGAGAGAGACTGGAAGAGGTCACTTCTTAACTATGTAGAAGGGAGACAGGAAAAGCCAATTTTCCAAGAGCTACGCCATATGCAATTACCAACATTCAATCCTGTTTGAGAGAGAAAGGTCAATTTCATCTGATTTAACTTAACCCCTACAGCAAGGAGGCCGTAGAGGTCTCGCCCTCTCTACCAAGTCACATCGAGTGACACCAATTGCCAGAAGCCGTGCTGAGAATAATTCTGGATATTCCAGGCCAGTAGGGATGGATAATATTAAACTTGATTAACGATGTCTGTCCTGGCTGCAGAGTGCGTAGGTACGCATATAATTTAGACCCATTGTCATCCTTCACTTATAAGGAGTTTAATAAGCCATGGAACAGATGTGTAGGCGTGCAAGGGTATCCTGTGGTTGTAGATTCTGGTTCTCAGTAGCCTGAAGTGGTAGATGATCTCTGTTAGAGATTGGGAGAAGGCAGAAGATTCAATTTAGGGGACTCACTGAGAGGCTGTATATATGCTGTGTTGGGAAATACTTCCAATGACTTTATAAACAGTCTTTATAGGGCTATTTGTACCCTATTAACTACTTGACCTACTTTTTAAGCAAATACACATTAACTGCCCCTCTCCCCCATGCATAGAAATTCCTTATTCTTTTCTGTTGCTCTGTTTTTATTGAATTCAAGACTTTCTTTTAAACTGAGGTCACAGTGCAGGAAAGGAACTCACTATACTCACTTTGCAAATTAGATTAGAGGGTGTTTTAAGGTAAAATAAAACCCAGGTCTTATGACTGAGAATAGATTTTTGTTTTACAAAGGTCAAAATCATTGCATAAAGATTTTTTTTTCACTACTAAGGGAGCATTCAAAGAACTTCTTCCAGCCTGGCTTCTCAGGATCCACAGCCTAAGAATTCCAGGAGCTTCATTATGCCAGTTTAGCTTTCTAGACAGAATCTGTGTTGTATCCCAATGGAATTCTATAAATTACATTGAGGATATTGAAAGGTGACCCAGGGGTTTTAATGGCACAATACTGAAATATCCTCTGCATGTGTTTTAGCTATAATTAGATGGTTTTCCTTTTTTGAAATTCTGGCACCTCAAGAAACTTCAGATCTCATTTTTAAAGTTCTTTCTTAACTAGGGCTACACAAGAGACAATGAGAGGGGAGTCCTTTCAAAATCAACCTGCCAGGGTTCTGCTGTAGGAGATTCTGATTTGTAGCTTCCTCCATGCCCTATAGAAACCTCGGTTTCTCTGTAAGAGTTCTAACGGTGAGCGTAGTCACAGAGGTTAGGGATCTGCATGGTCATCCACCAGAACTTGACAGAGGACTTGTTGCAGGGGGTGACTGCCTGTCCTACTGGTGAGTAGCTCACCTACCAGTGACTGATTTAGATTCTCCCAGCCCTCCTCACTCTGGACTGCTTACTCTTAATTCACTTGGCAGTTGCTGGTATACTAAGGACCAATGAGGACTCTTGTGTGGTAATAAACTTTAAAAAATATTTCATGTATTATTTTTATGTGTATGAGTGCATTGCCTACATGTATGTAGCTGCACCTGTGTCGTGCAATGTCTGCAGAGGTCAGAAGAGGGTGTCTGGTTCCCCTGGAACTGGAGTTACAGATGGTTGTTAGCTACCATGTGGGTGCTGGGAATAGAATCCAGGTGCTCTGTAAGAGCAGGCAGTGCTTTTAACTGCTGAACCATCTCTCCAGCCCATAAACTTTTAAAATGATGTTAAAAGGAGAAAACTCACTTTCATTTTAGGAAAAGTTGATCATGACCAGGACCTACCCAAGCTCTTAGTGTATTGACTGTCAAGCCATCTCAGCTAAGGCCTTCTTCTCTCCAGGACTATTTTTGAAGGCAAAAGCAAAGGGATGACTCCTCCAGCTATAACCATAAGATAAGTGTGGTCAGGAGTCTTCACACAGAACTTATGTCTCCCAGCTGCTACTCTATGTGACAGGAATAGAATTACCAGACCTGGTAACTGGAGAAGGAAGAGATGGCTTTGTGATTTTATTTATTTATTTTATTTTTTGGTGGGGGACAGGTGCTGGGGAGAGGGCTCAGTTGATAAAGTGCTTTCCATGCAAGTGTGAGGACCTCAGTTCACACCCCCGGCATTCACATAAAAAGCTCACTGGCCAGCCAGCCAGCCTCACTCAATTGGTGACTTTCAGGTTCTGTAAAAAACCTTGTCTAAAAATAGTATTGAGATCAACAGAGGAAGACATCCATCCAACTTTGACCTCTGGCCTCCATAGGCGCGCATGTGCGCGCGTGTACACACACACACACACACACACACACACACCCCTCTACTTTAACCTGGAAATCATTTTCAAAATCTAGAGATGCACGTAGAGCAGGCAGAAGTAGGTTTGGGGAGGGTTCCTAGCATTCCTCCTGTGTACTGTGCATGTTAGCTCAGGACCTGAAAGGGGTGGGTGGTGTTCAGGTCAGACAAGAACATGAGTTTTACCTTTTGTCCCTGGTTCTATCTGTGGAACCCCATTGATGCTTGGGAGTTTAGCTACACTTTCATTGATAGTGTTAGAATATGGGAAAGGATCATAGTGTCCTTCACTGCTCCCAGGGCATCTTGTAAGATTGGCTTCTTTTCGTGGGAGACGGCTTTCCAACTGCAGAGGTGACAGGGCAATATCAAAATAATTTGCCCTTACCCAGCCAGGAAAGTAGACAGCAACCACAGGAAGGTATTTCCAGCACCCCTCACTGGTTTGCTGCCCTGGTCCCAATCCCTCTTATTCTTTTCGGTCTTTGAGTTTGAACTTGACAGCAGTAGGAGAGGGGAATTAACAGCCGGAAGAGGCCTCGGTCCAGTCATCCTTAGCGTGGGTGGGTCGTTGAAAGTGTGGCACAGACTGAGCAGATATCTCAGGACTCCACCATTCCTCACTGCTGTAAAATTCCATTTTACAAGGATAAGCCGACTGCCCTTTACTTTAAATCAGGCGGAGGCGAGCTGTCACTGCAATGCCCAGCTGTCTGCAGGTCAGTTAAGTAGACTGCGGAGGGAGACGGGAGACAACCTGAAGCAGCTCCTGCAGTGTTGGGTGTGGGTCCAGGGCGGGGCACAGAGAAAAGAGAATATTTACTTCTGCCCTGTCTTCTATCCTTCCCATAATGAACTCATCCACTAAGAGAAAAGTCTCAGGGAGAAGAGGAAAGTTGCCTCTAATCAAATCAGAACACATACTTCCCATTTGTTTGAGTGATTATTATGGGTCAGCCCCTGCCATGAACACCTTTTGGAGGTAGGTATGTTTATCCCTGTTTCCCAAATAGGAAAGCTGAGGCACAGAGAGGCCCAGTGGCTTATCAAGTTCACACAGCAAAGGGGTATTTCAGTCTGGATTATTGTCTGTTTTTTGCTATATTTTTTAAAGCTTTTAAAATTACAAATAATAATGGGTTTCCTTGTGAAATTTTATGTATATAATGTATTTTGATTATCAACCCCTTTCTCCACTCATGTTAAACCCATTCCTCTTCCCAATTAGTCTCCCTTCAGATTTCGTATCTTTTGTGGGGGAGGCATTGAATTTAATTAGGGATGGTTACAGGAACATGGATGGGTGAGGAATTATTTCTTAAGACCCCTTTTGAAAAGGCCATACCCCACCTATTGCCGATCTGAAATGGAGCCTCACACCATCCGCTAGACCCTGCTACTCAACCTTCATGTGAAATGGCACAACATGTGTTTGATGGGCTCCAGGGGTGGGGAGGGGGTTTCCTCTGATCTCTTTGGCTCCCTGTGCTCTGAGATGTGGCTGTGTTTTCATGTCTCTGCCTTTCTTGTCTGTGTTACCTTGCTCTCGGGTGTAGTGTGCTGTCCCCAAACCAGACACCATCTCTCTTTCTCTCTCTCTTGTAGGCACGGTGCTGTTGTGCCAGGCCAACCAGGAGGGATCTTCCATGTACAGTGGGCCCGGTTCACTTGTATATACTTCCGCAAGTAAGCCCACAGTCGTGGCTCTTTTTGTTTTGTGATATATACGAATCTAATCATCTCCCTTCCTATGTCTCTCCATCCATTAACCCTCCCCCTGCATCTCCCTACAAGGCAGAATGGATCTTCATAAGCATGCCGGCTTCCCCATTGCTGTAGCACCCCAATCCCTCTGCTCACTCCCATCCACATCTATAGCCTCACATCCTAGATACGTACCGGAACACGGGCATTGGTTGGAGGGGAAGCTAGAGGTCACTGCCTGCATTGATCATAGCGTAGCTCTGCAAATTAATGGCATAGTATTTAAAGTATGTAACCTATCCACATGTACTTCCATAGCCCAGCAAAACCGACTCAAGCTGTCCTCTAGTTCATGAAGGCCACACTGTGAAAAATGTGACCAGCTTGTGTCTGGTTTGAAAGATTCTGTCCTTTGCTAAGCAAGTCCAATGAGGAAGGTCAGGAATTGAGGTTTCCTCATTTTATTGGAAGGTAGCAATATAAAAATGCTCTGTTTAAAATGTACTTAAATACTTAGCTCTACCGAACAAAGGGCCAGAGTGAGGAGATTAAAGAAAAGCTTGCAGGGAAGGTCACGATGTTGATAAACCAGAAATTCCCTGTCTGGAGTGGAGGGTACCTCACCTTCTCTCCAAATCAGGTTGAATATCTAAAGTGGAGGCTTCGTCTCCTTAGCCTACTCCTTTCTGTCTCCTAACCACAGTTGAGACTTTGTCATCTAGTTCGCAGGCTGTACATAGTCCTATGAGATTCTCTTCATTGACACATGTATTCTCATTAGGGTTAATGGTCAAAAGTGAGTCCGTGCCTCCTTGGGAGGGTGAGGTGGAGTTGGAAATTCATAGTGGTCATGAAAACAAGACAGGTGAAGGCAGACAAATTAGGACCACAGTGGTGACAACCCTCAGGCATGCCGAGGTCTTTGAGAGGTAGGGACTGGCAGATGTTTCATGATATTGGTTAAATTCAGGCTATTTTTCTGTGCCCCAAGAAACTCTAATCCTGCTGGCAAGAAGTGATTCTTTCTGAATGGAAGTAAATTATCCTATGGAAGACATTTTAATGTGTGTGCACCTGTCTCCCAGGACCATAGCCCACACATGTTCTCATACTCAGCTCTGCTTACCCCTCACCATATCTGCTCCAGGTAGGTACCATAACACTTGCTTTATAGCTGAGGAAGTGCAGGGATCTGAGATGTGCAAGAGCTCACCCAGGGTCTGTCTGTCTGTCTGTCTCTCTCTCCCCCTCTCCCTCACACATGCCCCCATGAGCTGATCAATTTGGTTTTGAACCCGGGGGAGTTACTCAACCTTCAAATGCATTTACGGATGTAGTTGATTCATTTCCCCTATAAATATTTTCTGGAGGAGAGTTGGTGCATAGTAGTGGTTGCTCTGCAGTCTACCCAAAACAAACTCTTGTACATATGCACTGTACAGGACAGTGACAGAGGGGCTCAGAGACACTGCATTATCTCATTCATTGTATATTAATTAGCCACACAGGGCAAGCAGTTAAAATGTTTGGCAGCACGGCTTTATATGCCCATATGATGTGCTTCCATTTTATATAAGTGAACCAGTCTCAACCTCAGAAAGTGCTAATTTGAATGTGTATAGTTAAGGAAAATGGAGAGATGTTTTATACATCAAGTATAGAAATAGTACACACTCTCTCCCTGATGAAATAGCTGGAAATTATAACATCTGACTCAGGAGTTAGCAAATTTAAACCACAGGACAGACCCTATTCATAGCCATTTGATAAGGATTATAAAACCAAAATTAATGAAAATGTGCAATTTGGCAGGGTGTGGTGGTGCACACCTTTCATCCCATCATGTGAGAGGCAAGTGTCTCTCTGTGGGTTCAAGGGCAGCTAGAGCCACAGCTACCTAGCGAGTGGAAAAAAGTATATTATACACATAGTATTTAAATGTATAGTTTACACAGGTGGCTGACAGTGTAAAATATTAGCAATATGTTTCTTTACTGAAACAATGTACTGAGTCTGTATTTTAAAAGTCTTTTATTACTAAAACTATAAAATTGAATCACCACATTACTGTATAATTATATAAGCTGCAGCATATGCCCAACATGTGTCAATTTTAAATAACATCACTCATCTCACCTTATTATTTTGGCTGATCAGCTATGTGGTCTTTATTAACTATGCTAATGACCTCCTCATATACTATTGTTTAATCTATTGGGCCAATTGTTGAATGTTCGGGTTTGTAGCATTATTTTCAGAACCGCACAACCAAGTTCCCTAGGTGATATCTTAAGCACTAGTATTCAGGTTGCCCAGCTGGGTATTACAGTCAGGGCAAGGAACTCCAGTAGCCTTCCTCCTGGTAAAGGTTATTCACTGGCCCTCAGGCACAATGCTGAGACTGTTCTCCTTCATAGCTTTTTGATCCAGCTGTTTGTTGCAGATAGCTGGCATCTTTGCAAGATTGATCTGGGTTTTCTCTTACTAGATGAAAACACACTTTCTAATATGAAGCTACAGCCTGTGTCCTTAAGCCATCTTGTCAAAACACAGTCATTTTCGCATGCATGGGCACACACAGTTACAGAGGATCCCTCTTCTTCCAGCTCTGATTCAGGCCAGGCAGGGAACATCACAGCCTGAGTTTGAGATCTGAGTGGTGTGTAGTTTTTCTCTGGGAAGCCAGCCTTCTTCCTTAAAGCAGAGACTCTTCTTAGTCGTATTGTAAGGTTCCCCTTTTAAACTTGAAGATACATCTATTTCTCGTTTTTACTTGACAGTCATATTCCTGAAAGAAAGGTATATGTCAGTTACACTTCTGTAAATTGTTTCCTGTATATCTATTGACTTCTGAGATTACTCATCAATTTGGAGGGGGGCGGTTCTCCCCACTTTTAAAGTGGCCTTAATGCTTTAGAATTGCATTTTCCATATTCTTAGCCCAATAGATAATCATCTGTAAATAACACCCTTAAATGCAGTAGGGGAGATGGCTTTTAAAGGAAGCCTGCTGGAGAATCTATAATAAAAATAATTCCAACCAGACTTACCTGCTTTTTAAGATGCATTTTTGCATACTGGTTTTCCCCATTAGCTAAATCTTCTTAATATAACCCAAGGCACACAACAGCATGAAGAGCAGTATTTTCTCTCAGGACTTTGTTAGTACAACCTAGTCTCCTTGCCACCCCATCTGACCTCACTTTCTGCTGCCTTCAAAGTGCCATAGGACATGGCACATCCTCTTACATGCCCAATAAATCACTGGATCTGCTTCCTCTCAAAATTAAAGTCAGAGCAAAACACTAGGAATTGGGGCAGGATACCTTTAGGCAGTGAGCAGTAGGACCCCTTGCCAGTGAGCTTTAGTGACGAGCTGGTGGCCTGCTAAGGCCTACCCCATTTGCATACAGTGTGTATAACAGGGAACAAGACTCGGCCTCAACCAGAACAGGCAGTTCAAGCACTGCAGGTGGAAGCCATGCTGTCAGGAAGTTAATCATTGCTTCCACAATGAGGAAAACCCAGTTCTGAGATGGGTGTGCAGGGGGAGTGATAGCTGATCAGCTCTTTGGTCTATGACAGTAAAAGCCATCAGTTTTGCTTTCTTGTAATCGTAGGAAGTAAGGACACATAGCTGGAATAATGTCATTATGCATACCCTTAGGGAGGAGAAGCATCCTGCAGTGGGGGAAGAAGGCATTAATATTGTGATTCTGTAGTAAGGACACATCTACATGGTATATGTACATTCTATATCATGTTTCGTTTTATTTAACATGTTGTGGCATCATCCCTGAGGCCTCCACAAGCTGTTTCATGGAGTGAATGATCAATTACTCAGACTCACCCAAGCCGCCACTTTCCACCTCCTCCTATCAAGGCTGGGCTAGCCATTTTTGCACATCCTATATCCCAGTGCATCAAAATTTTCATCTACAGACCCAATGGTAAGACTGCCAGGTTCATCCCAACTACATGTTTGGCTCTCTTTACTGCTGCCAATTGAACAGGTTAACAATGACATCTCCATTTGTTCTCTTGTGCATGGGTTTCCTCCTAGTTATAAACACCATCTTTCACACCTTTAATTGCCAATTATACTTAACCTCTTATGAATTCCAGTACATTTCTTTCTGGTTCTCTTCTGAGCTCTGTTTTATTTCATTTATTGTTCATTACTGCTGTTTGTAAAAAGCTTACATAATGCAGGTATATTTCTTATTTTAGTCATCAGACATTGTTTAAATGTCATTATACATTTTAATTGTATAGGCAAATATATCTGTCTTATTGCCAGTTTTAAACTTCACTGTATATTTAAAAATATGTACCAGGACCACTTAGTTTAGTACTATAACAGAATTCCATGGACTGGCCAGCCCAAACAAGAGTCGTCTGTACTCACTACTCAGGAAGGTGAGGTCCAAGATGAAGGTGCCAGTGTGGCTGGGTTCTGATGAGAACTCGTGCCCTTACATCCACAAGTGGGAGACAGTACAGGAGCAGGACGCCAATCCCATCTCCAAATATTATCATGAGGACACCAACATTGAGTGAAAAGGGACAATGCATTTGATAGTGAGGTGCTACATCTGCCAAGAGTGAGATATTTTCCTACAGAAACATCTTTTAGTTCCATATGTTTGCAGTGTATACAGGTATGAATTCACAGCTGTAAGGAAACCACTGCTGAATGTTGCATCCATGTGGGGATGAATCTTTAAGACACCTGTTAAGGTAAATGTTTTCTCTGTAGTCCTAAAAACTCAGATTATAAGCCAATGTTCAGAATTCTCAAGGTTAGCAAAATGCAAAATCATCACTTCCCTTATTCACTCCCATGAAACTCAAGGGCAAGTGGTCATGACAGGACTTTAATTGATATATTGATTGCAGGTTTTATGGAGGCAGTTGTAGAGAATTCATAAACCAATGAATTAACTGGAAGAAACAGGCATAAATCAGAGCTGCTTTCTTCT